CATCTCAAAAATAAACACTTAAATATTTTTTTTAATGCAGTAAGAAAGGGGCACCTGGGTGGCTCAGTCAGTTAAGCATCTGACTCTTGATTTCGGCCCAGGTCATGATCTCAGGATTGTGAAACTGAGCCCCAGGTCAGGCTCTGAGATCAGCAGGAGTCTGCTTGAGGAGTCTCTCTTACCTTTCTCCCTCTGGCCCTCCGCCTGCTCATGCTCGCTCTCCCTCTCAAATAAATAAAATCTTTAAAACAAAATAAATACAGTAAGAAAGTCCTGATACCTGGAACACAGGAACAGAAAAGGTCTCAAAAACAAGACCTCCCATGAATGCCCAAGTCTTTGGTTTTACTGTCCACATTCCTTCAAAGTAGTGGGGCCTCTATTAAATCATACTCAGAAAATCCCATATAGAATAAGTCATGTCATTAGATGTAGCCAAAAGTGGCTGGCAGAGGACAGCAATGTCAACTAACAGCTGAGGGTGGACCCAAAAGACTGACTCATGGAAAAGCAAAGAAGAAATTCAAAAGAAGAGTTAAGAATCACTTAATATACATAGAAAAATGTGACCATAACTTAACTGTTCACAAAGGTCTTGCCAAATTACAAAATATAAAATAATTACTGTTTGGAAATAATGGTTTGAAATTTCTAAAAGTACTGAAAGGCATTCTGAATGCTTGAAGTAAGGAAGTATATAAACAAAATTTTAAGTAAAGTTTCCAGGATAAATATGTAAAATGAAATGTATAAGGGAACAGCCAAGTTTCATCTACCTGGAAATCACTTATGTGTAACAGCCGTTTCTCAAGGATGCTGGAAAAATGAGGGGCTACTCTAGTTTAGGGGTATGCAAGATGTCACAGCATGCTTGTAAGAACACAGACGCTGTTAAGCATCCTACGTGTGACAGTCAACAAAAATTCCCTACAGTTATAATATATGAGAAGATGACAGTCTGTCTTCTTTGGAGAAGAATCCATTTCTAATAAAGCCAAAGCAAGGGAATAAATAGCTTAGTTTTAACTTTAAGAAATATGAAGGAAGGGGCTCCTGGGTGGCTCAAATGGTTAAGCGTCTGCCTTCGGCTCAGGTCATGATCCCAGGGTCCTCGGATCGAGCCCCATGTCGGGCTCCCTGCTCAGAGGGGAGACTGCTTCTCCCTCCCCCACTCCCCCTGCTTGTGTTCCTGCTCTCACTCTTCCTCTCTCTGTCAAATAAATAAAATCTTTAAAAAAACTAAAATTAAAAAAAAAAAAAAAGGGACTATGAAGGAAGAATTAATCACTAAAACTCCATGGAGTTTTGTGGTGATGGGAGTCTTTCCTAGGGTACTAATGGCAATAGATACAAAAGGCTATTATAGTTTACCTTAAGGTTGCATTTTATTGCATTTAATTCCATAGTTGTTTTATTGCAATACAACTGAACCTTCGAACTTATCAGCCTGGTCTCATGATTTTTGTCTTTACATCATCATTTCCTACTAGTGTCCTCCACATATCCTAGGCTTGGGGTAAAACAAACTTTCTTGCTCCTGAAATCGTTCTTACTATCCCACATCTGCTCTTATCCCTGCCTTTCTCTCTGAATCCTGTACCAAAGCCCAGGACAGATTCTATCAACTCCATAAAGCCTCTTTTGAAATATCCTCACTGATACCCACCCCAGCACAAGCAGACTCTTCCATTAGACCCCTGACATTTTATTGTTACCATTTCTACCATAATTACTCAAACCTCTTATCTTGCAGGCATCTAAGTCAGCATCACATAGTAAAAGAATGCTAGGGTCAAACAGGCAACAGTATCCCAGCTCTACAATGTGTGCCTGGTCAAGATACACACTCCAAAGAGCCTTATTAGATCTTTGCTCGGAAGAATGCGGACAATCATTACTGACTTTATGTGTTTGTGCTTCTGTAAAACATCAAGCTTGGAATGAACCAATCAATCAATAAATGCATGCATTCTGCCTTATGCCTCTCATCCTACAAAAAAGAAGGTATCATAAAGTCATTCAAAATTGTTTTTGACTTTCCAGATCCTCTCCTCTTCTTGGCACCTACTCTACTCTTCCTGAAGGTCTAGATAAATGATCTTCTAAACTGGCTATAAATTAATTAATTCCGATCATTAGTTTAAACGACAAGTGGAGGGTTCCAGCAATATCCTAGGCAAAAACGCAGATTTGTATTCCTGTATTTGTAAGAGCGCAGACCTACGATGTTAAAGGGAAAAGTAAGGTTGTTCCTGCATCTCCTACCCAGCAGCTCCACAGTCAGAAGTCAGAGCCTGGGAACATCCACAACCCTGCACCATCACACGCATTGCTGAATTTAAGAAAATGACCCACGTTATATCCTTAAGGTGGTATTTTTTGCATTACTTATAACCAGTTATTGCTCTAATGAGATTCATCAGACAGCATGAAACCCTCATTCAACCCTTTCTTTTCAACAATGCAAATGAGTACTGGGCAATAATTCAAGAAATTGAAAACAAATCCCAGAATGGCTGTTTGCTCTCACCAGATGCACTAAAAGATAATCAGGAGCAAGAAAAGCATCAGAGAAAGTTTTAACAGGTTAAAAAAATAAACCCTCCCAAGTTGTATCACACAGTGCTCACTTCTTTTAAAAAATATCTCTTTTTAAGTACTCACATTCACACAAAAACCTTCCTGAAAGAATATGTCTTGTTCCTATAGAGAACACAGTTAAAATCTGGTGTTTGAAATGAAGATGTTACAAAAGGTTTTTGTTTTTTTTTTTGTATATGACTACCTGGGTGAGAGGACCTTGAGGAGCTGAGACCTTATTCATCATCAGCACCCACCACAGACTTGGTATGCTCAAGTCCCTCAAGTAAGCTTTTTGTTGCTGAAACTGACGTTGCAATGAAGACTGTACTATTAACACAAAAAGCACCAGCACAATGGCCTGCACTTTAATGTAATTTTGAAACCATGCAGTAAATACAACTGAAACAAGTCAGTATCACTTATGACCAGAAACCAATTAGATAATGATTTTCAATGTGGCTGAACCTTCCACACTTGACTAGAAATGAGACAGCATTTCCTAAGAGCAACTGTAAACAAGGCAGGTTGCAAGGTGGAAGATCCGCCTCTGCGTGTAGCAGATTGCGGGAGGCCACCTTAACAGATTTCATTACGGGCACCACAATGGCAAATATTGTGAGCCTAATTAAGTTATTAGTTAGAGATTTCCTGTATGAAAATAATACTTCCTCCTCTTAAAAGTGGCCACCTATTGGGTTTGTAAATTAGCAGTATTTAAGAAAAGGCAAACAGTGTACTTGGGACAGGCTGCATGTTATCAAAAAACAGCAATCCAAAATCAAACTCAAGTGTTTAATTGTAGGAAGTTAATGCGGTTCCCTATGAGGTTTCAGATTATTTTATCATATAAGTGTAGGACTATAAAAAAAAATATAAGGCCATTTAATGGGAAAATGCTGTTAATTACTATTATATTAGTTGAAATTTACTGAAACATTTAAAATCATGTAGGTTACTGGAACTGATTTTAAATTTTCCAGATACCCAGGGCGCCTGGGTTGTTCAGTCCCCTAAGCGTCTGCCTTCAGCTCTGGTCGTGATCTTGGGGTCCTGGGATGGAGCCCCAGGTGGGGCTCCCTGCTCAGCAGGGAGCCTCCTTCTCTCTCTCCCTGTTCCCTTCCCCCATGCTCTCTCTGGCTATCTCTCTCTCTCTCAAATAAATAAAATCTTTAAAAAAAATAAAAAAATTCCAGATACCCTTACATAGTCAAAATCCTGTCTTTAATAATAGCCAACTCACAAAGTCTTATGTGACCATTAATTACATAACAACTATGCTAACCATATACCCTGGATTCAAATATCCTTTAACACTGCATAAGAAATTTTTATGTTACATGTTAGCTTGTTAAACAACTCAATAAAACCACAGCAATTAAAAGAATTATTTTTCCACATATTGAGATGTCTAATAAAATGTGTCACTTGAAACTCTATATTTTTGTCCCCTGCTGGTTCCTCTTTTCACAGAACTTAACCATATGTTTGGGTGGAAGGGGTTTTCATGAATCAGGATTGTTTGCAAGTTATGATGCTGAAGGAGTTACGATGCTGAAGGAATAATGTGAGAATTACTCCTTTCAAGTTTAACCACTACGATATTGCTTTGCTTTTCCTTCACTTGCTAAATCCGTTACACAATACATTTTAAAAGCATGTCAGAACTGATCCAAGTGCCCCCCTCTCTGAATAGCCTTCCTCCAGGAAGTGCTTCTGCCTATGTTTACATGCGTGCACATATCCTAACACCTCATGTTTCACTGCTACTCATTCCTTCACTAGTTTTGAATATTCATGAGGCACTACCTACACAACAGAAATAAATCAAAGCAAATCTCTTAATAACTGTATTTATTACAAAATCAAAAAATGTTAGAACGGAAAGGGATATGCTTTTGCCCAATTTCCTCATTCTAATAACATAAAAAAAAAAAAAAGGCTGAAACCCAGTGATTGATTTAGATCCTGTCACAAGGTTATTCAGCATTAGAACTAGATGAAGACTCTTTCCCACCACACAACTAGAGTAACCTAAGATTGTCGTCTTTACCATGGGCATTCTCTAATAGGAGAAGCTCGGTTCCTAGAAAAAATTTTTTTAAAACCCCCATTCATAATAAATAAATTACCCATTTATAAAAATCAACCCCCCACATCAATCTGTGAAGTATACATAATGAAAAAACTTGGCAATTGATTGCTCTTGGCACCTCCACCAGCATTTGGAAGGTGGACTTGAATTCAGGAATAGGAAAAAAGCTCTTCTGTTTTCGTATAACGCTTGATTCAGGATTCACCTTTGTGCTGCTAGACCTTCAGCAGGGACTTCATATATGAAGACTGGGGGCGGGCGGGGGGAGAGGAGGTATGGGATTGATTGCTCACAGCCAACACAAAACCTTGTCATTGTAACCTACCTCCTTGGCCATGTCTGTATATTTCTGCTTTTCCTTTGGATCTAGAACAGCCCACCAATCAGCCAGTATCTTGGTAGCACCTCGGTTATCAAGCCTGGGGTGTTCCTGACGTACAAGGGAGCGATGACGTTTGCAAAATAGGAGAAATGCATTCATTGGTCTCCGGGCTCGCTGTTCTGGTGATTCGTCATCAGTCTCACCAACATCTTGCTCTAGGCCATCGGCCCCAAGAAGTTGAACCTATTACCAACCAAAACAAAAGCCAGATCTTTAACACATCCTGGACAATTTTGCTTTAACAGTTAGTTTTGGTTTTCAAATTGTATTTTTTCTTAGCTCCATTGAAATAACTTACAAATTGGAAAAAATTAATCATCAACCACTATTAGTGGTTGGGAACCAACTTACAATGTATTCTGCTTAGTTTCTATAGCAACCTGTGCATGTCTCTATTGCAGCATATATTATTATCGTGTTATGATGGCTTACATTTTTTTCCCTTCACTAAATAGTGAGCTCTTTGAGGAAAAGCTCTTTTACCTTTACTACCACAGCATCTGGCTTAATGTCTGGTATATATACTTAACTAACTGCTCAATAAATAAATAAACCCATTCTGTGATATATGGGTCTCAAGATTAACAACAACATTCACAAAAAATACATGAATATTAGTTGTTTCTCCTCGTTGGAAAGTGCTTTTTTACAGTTAATAATATGAAAATGTTTAACATGAAAGTAGGTAATAAAAATTTAATACAGACTAGTCAATGTTTTAGGCACATCACAAGTGGAGCCTCCTACTGTAAAAATCACAACAGACATTTAACACTATTTGAAGGAGGAACTACGTAGTAAATTTTCAAGCTTGTAAATATCAACCTTTCCTGTTTCGTGAAATGCTGTGATAACAGGAATAAATTCACCCAGGCTTAAATCTTCAAAATCGATTCTGAATCCTCCCTTTTCCAAAGCATTTCATTCAATTCGAGGTCTTCAGGAACTTCTACAAAGCTCTAATCCTGCCCATTCCATCTGTGTAACTGTCATTTCCACTGCCCAGAAGCCTTCTGCTTCTGATCTCTTACATTACTACCCGCACATGGCTGAGGATACCTCTGATCACAGAATCTCAGGATGTATTGGAATTGTTAAATATCTTCTAAGGCTCAAATATGATCCTGTGCTATTTCTTGGAAACAGCGCAACCATGAACGGAAGTCCAGAAGGCTTACTAAAACTATCTCTTTAATTTCTTGTTTCACAGTTAAAATCAAGAAGGATGGAGGTAGTTGTTAGTCTGCATTGTATAGCAGAGCCTTAGTTCTTCAACTTGAGTGGGTAGTGGAATCCCTGGAGGTCTTGTTAAAACAGAGACTGTTGGGTCCCATTCCCAGAGTTGCCGATCCCGCAGGTCTGGAGTGGGCCTTGAGAATTAATGTCTAACAAGCTTCCAGGTGATGCGGATACTGCTGATCTGAAGATCACACTCTGAGATCCACTATGTAACGCAACCATGTTCTTTTACACCATGTTGATTGGGCAACGGCTACAGATACTCGAGGACAAATCACTGACTTGATCAAATTTGGTATTTTTAAAGTCTCTTCAGTTTAAATTAAGTATTGCAAGTGCATTTAATTAACCATCGATTATCTTCAAACAAAACAGTACAGTGGAACAATCTTAAAGTCATAGCTATCTGATTTGGAAATACATTAGAGATTATTATTGGGAGTGAAGGCTATAGATTTAGCTTCCTCACTCTGTACACAATTATCAACAACGATTTGCATTTTTGGGGAATATTTATTTAGCATTCTGAATCTAAGAAGCTATAGAAAAATCAAGGCATAAAAAGTATACTATGTAGGTTGAGGAAGTAATTATAGTTTCCCTTCAGAAAAGAATAACTTTTGATTCCGCTACTAAATTATAAAACTCAAGCCAAGAGCTGCAAAAAAAGATAAATAAGAAAAGATCCTGGACCGAGAAGCTTACTGTTTGGAGAGGGAAGAAAGATAGAAAAGCGAATGAATTAAAAAGCAGTATGATGACGATTACAAGGAACCAGTGTGATAACAAAGCACTAGTGGATGGATGAGAGTACACTGAAGTCTCCCTAGAAAATGTGTTGTCTGAGCTAAATTCTGAAAGATGAATCAGAATGTGTCAGGCAGTCAATGGGGAGATACAGAAAACTAAAAAGGATTAAGGCTCTATGACTACTAATTGATATACAGTTCAGTAGCACTGGTGTATCTAACATGAAAACAGGGACCCAGGACATGAGGTTGTAGAAGTAGGTATGGACGTACTTTATGAAGAATGTGCTTTGTCTTATTAAAAAAACCCCATGCATTTAATGCTATGAGTAGTTGCAGACTGTAAAAAAAAAAAAAATCTTGAGGGGAACAACATAGGTTATCATATTTTACCAGAGATTATTTATTTTGCCAAATATGGGCATCAAAAAAAAAATGTTTTCGGGGTGCCTGGGAGGCTCAGTCAGTTGAGCGTCCGACTCTTGGTTTTGGCTCAGGTCGTGATCTTAGGGTCATGGGATCGAGCCCCGAGTTAGGCTCCCTGCTCAGTGTGGAGTCTAAGACTCTCTCTCCCTCTCTCTCTCAGCCCCTTCCCTCTACTCTAAAATAAATAAATAAATCTATAAAAAAAAAAAAGTAAGCGTGTCTCTAGCTTCGGTGGCAAGATTCCTTCATACACAACAGTGAATGCTTTTTCTCAAATGAGAGAAATTAGATCAGGTGGAGAGCAGAAAGATTAGTATCGGGTCGGCTAAATTTGAGGTGGTTCTCAGCAGAGACATCTTGGTTGCAATAACGAACTGAGGTATGAATACAAAGGAGGCAAGACTAGGAAAGTGGATGGGATCACCAAGTGGGACTGAGAAAGAAGGGAGTCCAATCACCTCGTTCTTGCACTCTGTAACTGTTGACTGGGCCACTGATAGGGACCAGGCACTGTTCTAGGTGGTGCAGGTAGAGCCCTGAGCCTATGCATTCTCTGCCCTCATGAAGCAGGAAAGTGGCACGGCCAGCCTTCCGTTTTGAAAGGATCCTTCTGGCTGCTCTGCTGAGAACAGACTGTGGAAGGGCAAGAGCAGAGCACACTGATCTGCACCAGAAATGGTGGTGGCCTAGATCAAGGAGCCGGTGGTGACCTTGCTGAGGAGGAGTCAAGCTGAGATCCCATGCAGTAGGCACGGCTGAGAATCTGCTGATGGACAGATGTGAGACTTGAGCAAAAGAGAACAGACCCGGCTTCTGGTCTGACCAACCCGAAAACCAGGGGTCCCCACTTCCTGAGGTGAGGAAGACGCAGGACGATGGGCTTCAAAGCTGAGTTCCTCTGTTTAATATAGAAGTTCAAACTGAGTTCTGATCTGAGATCTAAGTGGATATGTAAAGTAAATAGTCCAAATCACGAGTACGTTTAAGAAAAAGGTCCAGGATGGCAAGAGAAATTAAGAAGCCCAGGGAACACCAATACTTGAGGGCAGAACAATGGAGGGGCATCAACTGAAAGAAGGTAGGATGGTGCGGCTGGGAGAGAAACAGAAATCCTGGGACAGACAGAGGAGTGTGTGCTGCAGGAGGAGTGAAGCAGAGGACCGCCCCAAGGACCACGGGACCAAGCGGCACCACTGTGTCAGAACGATCAAATCTGGATAAACCTGGCAGTTTCCTCAAACAGAATTAATAACACTGTTTCTCTGGAAAGGAAAGGAGAAAGAAAAGACAGGCAAGAAGTGAAGTAAGCGTGCAAGTGAGTAGAGGAAGCTGAAGAAGTCACTTCTGGCGGCCTCTGTTTTCTCTGTAAAAGAGGAGAAAAAGCTCAGTGAGAGAGACTGTAAAGGGTATCCGGGTAAGATGTCTGAGAAACAGGAAAAACAGAAAACATGGTTTCCTGGAAGCTGACCTAAGCCTAGAACAAAAGACTGAATGGATGTCAAAGGCCTGAAGAATACTAAAGACATGTTTATAAAAGTTGCAGTGACACAAAATATGTATTCATTGATTCTTCTAATGACCATAGATCTATTCAAAACCAGGCACCATTCTAGATTCCAACAAGAGGAGGACACGAGGGGCAAGACTTTGCTCTTCCTAAGCTTATATTCCAGTCTGGCAAGACAGACATACACAAGGTAAATGGTAAATGTCAGGAAGGAACTCCCTGGACACAGAATGCGTCGGGTGGGAGGGACACCTGCCATGAGAAGGTCCCATCTCTTGGGGAGGTAGTCCTCAACTTAAGAGCTGAATGGGGAGGAAAGGAGGAACCAGCTATGCCAAGACTGAGAGGAACGTGTGACTTTCTAAATAAGAGCTGGCTGCTCAAGCATGAGGCTAGAGAAGGGGACGTGGAGGACTGAATGACAAAGGAGGCTTGGTGGGGGTGAAAACTGCTAGATGCCATGCAGGTGGCAGAGACAAGGGCTTGAGCAGCTCTGAGGCTGTCTACGGAGGCAGGGCTAGACTGAAGTGGAGACAGAAGCCAGAGCCGCAAACGGGGTGGATGCCAGGTGAGCATTAACAAACTTTATGAATACCCCCATCTCCACTGCATTGGAGTATTACCGTATTACCTGAAAATCATTAGTTAATTGACAGAAAGACTACTGAAGAAGGATCTGATTCTGTCTCAACTACTAGAAGTACAGATACTTCAGGAGTCATCAATATCTGGAATAAAAAGGTAAACTGAATAGTTGAATAGGATTCAAGTTACACAGACTTTTAGAAATGCATCCTTCTCACCATCCATGATCACGGTCATTTCTGGCATGAATACTCAAAACTTCTATCTTAAACAGAGGAATTACCTTATCAATATCCTCTTCTTCGTCTTCCTCTTCCTCCTCTTCTGAAAAGTCCAGCAGTTTCTTTGCTAGCAGTGGGTGCCACTGAAGACACTTTCGTTTTGGTCGTTTTCCAGCCCTTTCTCCTTCTGCTGAATGATCCTTATTTCTGTTACTGCCTTTCATTACTGTGACCTGTGGTAAGGAAAAAAAAAGGGAGAGAAACAGAGAGAAATCAAAGTAAATCTGATTAAAATTTGTTTATTTAGCTTCCTTAGCTTTAATTGGATTATAGTTTTAATGACTAAAGTATCTACCAGCTCAGGCATTTACTGGATTCAGTACGAATTCTAAGTACATAATCAAACATTCATTTTACTTGGCTAAATGGAGCTAATAAAATTTGCCTTTTATGAAATCTACTTCCTTCCACTCCATAACTTCAGAACTCAAAACCCAAATAGACCAGCAGGAGGATTACAAGTTACAGTCACCTGTTCGCATTTACTCAGGGTAGGGTTTCTTAAAGTGGTGCATCAGAAGAATCTGAAAAGACAGCGCCCAGAGATGAGGTGCTCCCAGAGGTAGCCCTCCATACATTCTCCAATGGCTCCTCTTTTATTACAACAATTTACGTGACTTTTGCACTCTACGCTATGATAAATCTGAGCTTGGAGCATTATTAAGTAAAATGAATACTTTGTAAAAATCAAATGTTTTAGATTTAAAATAAACCATTTCACAAGATGACACACCACTTTTAAAAACTAGCAGTGTGCAGCCTCCAAGGACCCAGCGCATGAAGTCACCGTAGGTCACTTAGCGAGATGAGCGCCCTCTGTACCCATCTGTGACATAAGTCACAAATACTTTTGCACCTCTCCATTACGTGGGCACCAAAATCCAGTAACAAAGTTTTTCTCCTGAGGCTTTTTGCTGTTTCTCTTCCCGAAAGGTGGCTGGCTGAAATAGCTAAGAGGTAGCCAGCCTATGGATGTGATAAAATCTTTCAGAAGCCCATAATTCTAAGTTACTTTTCGGTGACTTAACTTTTTCTCAATGATAAAAACAATACACATTTGTATTTTATAAAGGTGAAAATAGCACAAAATGAGGTTTGTATTCTCCATCACACCAGCCCCACAGCCCAGAGGTAAACTATACATGTCCATTTCTCATATGCATTCTCTCAGCTTTTTCCTAGTTTAATAGTTCTCATCCATTCATTTTAAGTAACAATATACAAATCATTGTACATACATACTCATGCAAACATTCAAATGATGTTATCGATTTAAATGGCTCACGCTGACAGTTATAAACATAAACACAGTTGCTGAAATCACAGAACAGTAGCCTTTTGGGTCAGTGTATTGCAAAGTGGTATCAATAAATTTGTTATGCTATGCTGCTAAAACTGGGATTTCATAAAGTTTCTAGATGCATCTAGTTCGGAAGCCTTTAAAACAATACGGCACAGGCAAATTTATCCTCTGTCCTTCACAGTTTATGGATTTTGAGTCATGCGTAGGCCTTCTTCATTTCAAAATTTTAAAAAATTACTAACAACTCCTTCTAGAACTTTCATGACTTCACTACAAAAAAGAATTTTAATATTTGATCAACCTGTAATTCAGGAGATAAGGATTCTGATAAAGGAGATATGGGTCTACTTTATCCTTTTTTTCCCAAATAACTAGCCAAATTCTGCCAACGCTCTTTATTAAATAATCCAGCTTTCTCCCACTCCTTTGAAATGCCACTTTTATCCTACACTAAATTACTATGTGTATAAATCTATTTCTGAATTCTCTTCTGTTAATAATCATGCCCCTCTAAACCTGTTTGCCTATCCTTTGACCAATTTAAAAATATCCTTAGGGACTATATCATTCTGTGCCTTTTTTAATATACAAATATACCAGTAAACATAGCCATTTAGAAATTTTAATTTGCATAGATCATGCTCATCTAAGTCAATACACCTTGACTGTTCCCATTTTGTAATAACCATTGAATATTCCAAAATAAAAGTGTATTGCAATATACTCAATCATTTCATTATTGATAAATATTCAGATTATTTGTGCTGCAGTAAAATCTTCATTTTAATAAAAAAAATTTAAATCTTCATTTTGATAAAAATCCTCACCAATTTATTAAATGCTATGACTAGTCAAAGGAAGGAGGGAGAGCAAAGAAAAACATGTTCCCATGGTCTTTTTAGCAAGAACCTTCGGCTGAATATCTGAAATAATTATATGATTCGTGTGGCTGCCTCAAAAGTATAAAAAGTTACTGAAAACTCTATATGGAATTAGTTATCTGGTATGCTCTTAATAAAGGAACAAAGATTTCTTGTGAACTGATAGATCATTTAACAATTCTCATTCTATCTACAAATAAAACTTGGCACAAGCAACCCAATTTCCAAAAATACCAATGCTATACAGAGAAGAGGAAATGGTTATTTTTGTGGCTTATTAATCACTTCAGGATGAGCTGCATGAGTGGCAATTAAACCCATATGGGGGTCCCAATATTTTATGAGATAAAACATTTTTTATAGCCTTTTCTTTTCCACTTAAAAAAAGTCCCTTTGACATTTCTTATTAAGGCTGATTTAGTGCTTATGAACTCCTTTAATTTTTGTCTGGGAAACTTTATCTTTCCTTCAGTTCTTGCCAGGTAGGTTATTCTTGGTTCTAGGTTTTTTCCTTTCAACCTTTGAATCTATCATGCCACTCCCTTTCTGGCCTGCAAACTATTCTGCTAAAAAATCAGCTGATGGTCTTATAGGGGTACCCTCCTATGTAACTAGTTACTTTTCTTTTGCTGCTTTTAAGATACTCTTTATCTTTAATTTTTGACATTTTAATTATGATGTGTGGACCTCTTTGAATGCATCTGGTCTGGGGCTCTCTGTGATTCCTAGACCTAGGTATCTGTTTCCTTCTCCAGGTTGGTGAAGTTTGCAGCTATTATTTCTTCAAATAAGTTTTCTGGCTCTTTCTTTCTCTCTTCTCCTCTGGGACCCCTATAAGGGGAATGTTAGTATGCCTGATATTGTCCCAAAGGTCCCTTAAACCATCCTTATTTTTTTAAATTCTTTTTTCTTTTTGCTGTTCAGCTGGGGTGATTTCCACTAACCTGTCTTTCAGATCACTGATCCGTTCTTCTGCATCATCTAATCTGCTATTGATTCCCTCCAATGTATTTTTTAATTCAGTTATTGTATTCAGCTCTGATTGGTTCTTTTTTATATTTTCTTTCTCTTTGTTGAAGTTCTCACTGGGTTCACTCACTCTTCTCCCAAGTTTGGTGAACATCTTTATGACTATTATTTTGAACTATTATTTACCAGGCACACTGCTTATCTCTGTTTCATTTAGTTCTCTTTCTGAGGTTTTGTATTTCATTCAGAGCATATACATTTGCCTGACTTCCTGTGTTTGTTTGTATGTATTGGTAGGTCAGCTAAGTCTCCTGGTCTTAAAGGAGTGGCCGTATATAGAAAGTTTCCTGTGGGGCCCAGAAGCACAATACCCCCTGGTCACCAGGACCAAGTGTTCCAGGGGTGTCCCCTGAGTGGGCTGTGTATACCCTCCTGTAGTGGCTAGGCTGTGATAGCTGCACGTGCACTGGCAGAAGGGGCTGGCCCCCAGCCTGGCTGGCCGCAATGCCCTGCCGTGACTACTGTGGTAGCACTAGTGGGTGGGCCTGGACCCCAGTACAGCTGGCGAGAAACCTGGCCACAGCTGTGTCAGTGGGCAGGGCCAGCCCCTCGTGTGGCTGGCTGTGAGGCCTGGCCAAGACTGCTGCAGTCACGCCGGTGGGTGGGACTGCCTGTCTCCCTTCATGGGGGGGGGGGGTTTGATCCATGCCGAGGCTGTACACTGGGTGCAGCAGGGCAGGGGATAGGACACAGTCAGAGGTCTCTGTCAAGGCCTTTTGCTGAGTGCAGTGAGGTAGATCCACTGGAGGGGTGGACGGTGCTAGTCCTGGACAAGGTTTCTTGCTGGGACAGGAGCTGCCTGGGGGTGAGGGGAGAATGGGAGCCACTTTGCAGGGTTGCCAGTCCCAGCCAAGGCTTCTCAGCAGGGCAGGAGCTGCTTTGGAGGGATGCCTGCTGGGGTGAGTCTGCAGAGGAATGCAGGGGGCTAGGGGGTGAATAGTGCTAGCAAGGTAAGATGGAGAATATCAGAAATGGCTCCCACAAGCGACAGAGCAGCTAGGTAGAAGGAAAGAAAAATGGCACCCTCCAGTGCTTCCATTCCTGGTGAAATTTCCTATGGATCCCCACCGCTCTGGCACACACCCTAAAAGTAGTCAACAAATATCCTTCAGGGATGGCCCTGGTACTTTCCAAACCACTGCCTCTCTGCTGGGTCTTGGAGCAAGTGAGTTTGTGCATGAGCTCTTTAACAGGAGAGTCCCAGTTTTCTATAGCCCTCCCCTCACCTATTGTTAAGCCCCACTGACTTTCAAAGCCAGATGTTATGAGGGCTTATCTTCCTAGGGCAGGTGCCCAGGGTGGGTGGCTGCCCAGGGTGGGGATGGATCTCCTCGCCCCTCAGGGAGAACCTCTGTGTTGGTGCATCTCTACTGTGTCCCTGCCCCGCCTCTCCTTCTCAGTTTGGACATTTCCTTTTTATCTGTAGTTGTGGAAGAGCTGCTAGTCTTCAGGTAAAGTCTTCAGAGAGAGATGTTCCATATACAGCTGTACTTTGGGTGTGTCGTGGGAGGAGGTCAGCTCAGAAGCATCCTATTCCATCCATGTGATCCTATCCTTGTTTAGGTAATGCGTTTTTTAAATAGCAAAAGAAATCAACGGAAAACTATAAGCGGCTATATCAACTGGAGAGGTCAAAGTGATTGCCAGTGCCTGGAGAAAAATATATCTTTTAGTCTCAAGGATTTTGATCATGCTATTTAAGTATGTGTGAATGTGTTTAAGTATATGTGCCTTTGTGCATGTGTTTAAAATTTTAATATTCAAAGAGAAAACAGAATATCAAGAATAAAATTAATGAATGGTATATGTATGTGGCTTTGGGGTTCAGAATAATCACATTCACATGTGATTTCTTTCCAGTGTAGCTGACATGCCATTACAGATACTGTATGTCTTTGCTGATAATCCCCAAATTAATCTCTCCTTCCCCAGAAATCCACTAGACTTTGTATTGCTAATG